GTGTGTGTGTGTGTGTGTGCGACACATATTTACCCTCCATCTCAAAGCGCGCACCCACCCATCTGCACACACACACACACACACACATACACACGCGCGCACACACACACACACACATACATACACACACACATGCCCAGACTGTGCTTACAAGCAACAAGGAGCACCATTGACTATCTCACCGCTTGTCGCTGACCAGATCCGCGGCGATCCTGTGAGGCCAGATGTCTACAGAACCAACACAGATACACACACACCCACACACACACAGAGGCACATGTACACAAGCAAAATCAGTCGAGTCAAACCGTCATGTGAGCTGCCGCTCGCTGTTGTGAATGTCAACGAGAGCGCAAGGAAGCAGAGAACGCAAGAGACTGGCCAGGCAAGAGAGAGAAGAGAACAAGAAAGCACAAACAAAAACTTGGAAATGAACAACAACATGGAAACACACAGAGACACGATACAAACACGCGTGCGTTTCTGCACGGTCAGCAAGCAACAGGGCCGCAATCATCAAGCAGCGCGCGCAACAACCGCAGGTGATGGTGATGACTCATGCACAAAACGAAAATGAAAGAGGAAGAGGAAGAAAGGGGAAGGACGTGACAGAGATGGGGAGCAGAGCAACAGGGAGGCAAAGTCTTTCGAACCGCACACAGAACCGCTTGCGCATACGCGCGAGTGAGGTTCAACGTATCGCGAGCACGGTGCTAATGTACACTTACGCAAACTGTGCAGACGTGTTGCTGAGTCGCGCGCCACTCCGATCCCCACCTATTGTGCGTGCGTGCGTGCGTGTGTGTGTGTGTGTGTGTGTGTGTGTGTGTGTGTGTGTGTGTGTGTGTGTGTGTGTGTGTGTGTGTGTGTGCGTGCGTGCGTGCGTGTATGAGTGTGTGTGTGAGTGTGTGTATGTGTGTGTGTATGATTGATGAGAAAATGAGGCCTGCCGGTTGTGAAGGGAACGGACCGAAGCACATGAGCACGCGGATCGAAATCGGGCGCACCTTGCATCAGATTGTGCTCTGGAGTGTGGCGTCTGTCCAACTGGTGATGGCTGTGGCGATGGTGGTGTGCATGCGCATGTGCCGTCAAGTCGTGACTGTTTCGTGGCGAAGAATGGGCGCTGTGCTCCTGCTGCTGTAGCTGGTGGCGGCGGTCGTGGCTCGCCTGCGAAGCATGGTGATGGCTATGATAAGGGTGGTGGTGTGCGTGCGATGCCTCCAGCCGATGCTGCTGCTGCTCATGAGGGTGGTGGCGCTGATGATGGTGGTGGTGGTGGCCGCCGTCGTGTGCACGCGAGGCATGGCGGGCGTCACTGCCATCCGTCTGGCAGTCGCGACGGTGTCCGCAAACACAAGACAGGCGAGATGAGAGGAGCGAATGTGAGCAGATGGTCGTGTTTGTTCAAGTGGCAGCCGCAGAGAGAGAGAGAGAGAGAGTATGTGTGTGTAAGTGAGAGAGACAGATACTCACACAGACACACAGGCACACAGGCACACAGGCACACAGGCACACAGACACACACTCATGTCAGTGTACCGGGGCGTATTGGATGGCTGCGAGGGAGAGGGCGTTCATCCAGGCCTTCATCTCCTCCGCAGAGTCAGCGCAGATGAAGTAGGAGCGCTTGTCCTCCCGGGAAATCTGGCGACAACAACACACACACACACACACAAGCACAGTAAATGAGCATGCATGCGCCAAGAACTTGGTTCTATCGCCGACATCCCACAGTTCTTGTCCTGCCTGCCCCAATTTCATCCACTAAACAAACAAATAATCAACATGTGCGCATGAACGCTGGTGTGCAGCGGAATAGGCAAAGTCGAACCTTGAAGCCAAATTTGTTGTACATGTGCTTCTTTGGTGGCGGCGGCATGATGAGATATCCGCGAAGAGAGAAGCAGCCAAGCGCCTGTGTTGTGTGTGCGTGTGTTTGCATGTGTGCATGTGTGTGCGCGCGCACACACAAAGGAGAAGCGATAGTGTCAGTCAGTATTGAGGACATTGCACCGTCACCTCTCACTGTCAAAACTCTCTCGAGCATCTTCCCCCCCCCCGTGCATTACTCATAGGTACTCACTCCCCACATCACTCGTGCCACGACCACCGCCACGACCACCACCACCAACAACATTGCTGCAGTATACACGGCAATGATGACACGTGTTCACGCACCACTGCGTCCTCTGGCGTTTTGTAGTAGTATACAGCACCAGACTTGAGCACAAACCACCGTCGTCGCCAGTTCTTTGGCGTCAGCCCGGATCCACCCTGCTTCGTCAGCCATCCTGCATCATATGCACGTGTGCACACAAACACATGACAACGTGCCGCCATTAACAATTGCATAAACAGCTTCGTGAGCCCAGCCAAACAACGAGTCACAGCAACACAAAGAGAGGGAGAACAAAGGAACGAGGGGAGGTGGCTCCTCGATGCTTGCATGCACGTGGCTGCGGATGAACACACCCTGCATGCTTGGATTGCGGAGAGAGGAGCACGGTGTTTCGACGACGGGGTCGATGAAGAAATCGCGGGCCTCGCTGCTGGCAGCACTGGACGTGCTGTTTCGGCCAAACGAGAGCCGGCGCACCAGCACATCGCGCACAGATGCCCGGCTCCTGACACACGTGCACATCAAACACCAAAACAGGAGGAAGCGGAGCCAACGGGCATGGGTTGGAAGGTTAGGATGTGCAGGGCTGCATTATTGGCGTGACGTTGTTGATTGACTATGGAGAGTGCACGTACATCAAGCTGAGCTTGCGTGTGAGACGCAGCATCAGGTCCAAAACAAAACGGCAAGACGTGGCCGGATGGGGGAGAGGGGGCAGGGGGAAGAGACTACATACCCAGAGCTGCTGACGGAGTTTGATCGCGAACGTCCAAAGAAGCGGCGCGACATGTTCGCCTTTGCAGCCGCACACTCCCCCTACGCTCACAGACAAAATATCAAGAACAAATGTGTGTGTGTGTGTGTGTGTGTGTGTGTGTGTGTGTGTGTGTGTGTGTGTGTGTGTGTGTGTGTGTGTGTGTGTGTGTGTGTGTGTGTGCAAACAGTGGGTTGTGTGCACATGAGCATGTGTGAACGCGAGAAATTGCAATGCCGGGAAGCCGGAGCAGCTGACACGCTTGATAGCATGTATCCGCGACGATAGATGAATCTGTGGCACCAAACGCCCGCAAGACACGCACATCGCACAAAACATGTACATTGCACGTACCTCTGTGAGGAGCTGGCTGTCGCGGCTGTGAAGAACATCGTTGGAGTAGTGCACAAAGTCATCCGTGTCCTGCGTTACGACGAGCGACAACTGCCGGAGACGCAGTGCACGCAAGCGAATGGCGACAGTGAGGCAGGGATGATGCGTGCACATTCACATGCAGCGAAGCCGAGTGAGTGAAACAAGCCTCGGACAATGCAAGATAGCAACAGACACTTGACACCAGATGAGGAAGGGCGTGGTCCATGGGCACACTACGCATCCCAGAGGTCTCAAGATAAAGTTGAAGCCGCCGAGGTTCATGCTTGTTGTGTGTTGTCAGGTGGTGATGTGATTTGCTTACCGTGGACTGCCGGTGAAACTGCATGAGCTTCAGCACGTCGAGCACAGAGGCGCCATAGGCTGGGCACCCGTTGACCTGCTCAGCATGTGGTCACGTCAGGATCAGGCCAGAATCCAACCACGCACCCACACACACACACACGCATTCATGGAGGCAGGAGGCGTGCGGCGTGGCGAGGCGCAGGAAGGAAAGGCACGTGCGAAAATTTGCAGCGGCGAAAGAAATCTTGCAATGAGTGGAAGCAAAAGCCAGACTATTGGCTTGGGATCATCACGTCGTCACATCACGAAGCAAACAGACAGGCTCTTTTGTGGTTTGTGTGCTCTCACAATGAATGTGGGGAGTGCATATTCATGTGTTGCGGTTCATGTTACAGTTGGGGGACGCAAGACAAGCAGCACCATTCGAACCTGCACAATGCCAGTGGATGTCTTGAGGTGCGGGCACTTGGATGCTGGCAGGCCTTCCATGACAGACCCGACGGTGATGATGTTGTGGGACCCAATCAGCGACAGCCCAAACGAGTCGACCGCTGGTGTTGGTTGCAGATCAACCTGATGTACATGGCAGTGGAAGAGGTGAGATGGACAGAGGGAATGCATGCACGCGTGCGTGTGTGTGTGCGTGTGTGTGTGTGTGTGTGTGCGTGCGTGCGTGTGTGCGTGCGTGCGTGGTGTGTGTGTGCCTGTGTGTGCATGCACATGCTGCTCACCTGCCGACACACGAGCTTGGACTTGAACTTGTCGTGTGTTGCATTGTATGCGTTCAGATACGCCTTATATCCCTCCAGGTTGTCGGCAACGACAAGCGTCACCTGTTCGCGCACATGTGAGTCCCGATGTTGAACTACCTTGTGGTTTGTTTGGAGGTTTGCACGTTCACGCACGCAGACAGACAGACAGACACAGACACACACACACGTGTGAACACGGCTGACCTGGTTTCCTGTCTCATGGAGAAGGTTGTTGATGGCAATGTGGCTGAGGTGCAGCACTGGACAGCCGTTCACCTGCGGCAATGAACCACGACAACCAAATGCAAGGTGAGTGCTGAGGGTGCTCAGCGCGTCGTACACCACGTGCCTCGACTGCCCTAGCATTCACGGGGACTTGTTGCACTTTGGCGCGCGCGCACACACACACACACGCTCACACACAACACAACACAACACACACGCACACACAACAAAACAAAACACACACACACACACACAACACAGCACAACAACACAGCACACACACAGACACACACACACAACACAGCACAACAACACAGCACACACACACACAGCACACACACAACATAGCACACACAGACACACACGCACACACAATACACGAGCAGAGCAGCTCGCACCTCGATAATCTGATCGCCAATCTGCAGCCGGCCCTCCACGTGGGCGGGGCCCTGCGGTGTGATGTCAGACACAAACTGCGCATCAATCTCAAACCCAAATGTGCCCTCACGGTCCACGCTCAGCCGAATTTCCCGCGCTTTCAGCTTCTTGCTTGCCCTGCGTTGTTGTGTGTCGTTAAGCGACAGGAGATCGTTCCACGCGTGTGCGATCGCGTGAGAAAAAGGGAGGTACGCACAGGGAGAGAGAGTGTGTGTGTGTTTGTGTATGTGTGTGTATGTGTATGTGAGCGTGTGCGTGTGCATGTACATGTGCATGTGCATGTGCATGTACATGTATATGTGTACGTGTGCTTTGGTGTGGATGATGTGTCATGTGAACATGTATGACACACGCTATCGATCACACAGCAGTTGGAGGCGCAGCAAACCGTCCCCTTTCATCCATGCAGCCCTGTTCCCTCCGCCCTCACAACATGTGCAAGCGCGCGTGTGGGCGCACTGACCTTCGATCGGAGCGTGGTGCTGGCGGCGCTTCAAGTGCGGGCGATGAGACAACAGCAAACCGCTGTGAGATTGCCACCACCTCCCGGTCGCCCACCAGCGCTGAAATGATGATCTGGTAGTCGTCGCTCGGCAGGATGTCTGCTGTCAGTGTCCACGTGTATTCGCCCGTGTTGACAACGACAGGCGCAATCTGCAGGTTGAAGCATGCCCGCTTGCTGATGGCACGAATGGCGAGGGTCACGTGCCGTGGCAGCTCGCACGCATCCCACTGGTGACGGTGTGTGTGTGTGTGTGTGTGTGCGTGCGTATGTGTGTGTGAGAGTGTGCGTATGTGTGTGAGTGTGCGTACGTGCAAACATGCATGCACGTTTGTGTGTGTGCGTGTGTGTGCATGCAGGTGCACGTTTTCAGTGTGTGTGTTGTGAGCTGAGAGCGTCTGCCCCGTGTCTGTTGTTATGTGTGGTGTTGTGTGCGCTACCTTGATGACGCGGGGTGTACCAATCGCCCACTCCTCGCGTCCACTCGGGGAAATGATGTCAATGCCGCCACTTTCCTCCGCCTGCAAACATTCATTCACATGTGCGCAATGCGGGCACACATGATAAGAAGCGTGAGCAAGCCAAACAACAAGGTGTGTGGTGTGCATGTATGTGTGTTGAAGATGTGCGTCAGACGTGTGATGTGCAAACGTGAACTGTTGCAGCCCAGCTCACCTCGCCTGTCAGCATTGCGTTGATTACCGACGAACGCGGCGTGCTCGTGGACGATCCTGCGCGCGCACATTGACACAGACACACATGAATATGGGCACGAGCGTGTGTGAGAAGTGCAAACGTTGCGCCTTGGATTCGGTGTATGCTTGCATGCATGGCAGTGTTGTGTGTGTGTGGGGGGGGGGTGACTGCTTCGTTGGGAGGAGTGGCATCAACGTGAGAGAGGAACGGAAGATATATGCACTTGTGTGTGTGTGTGCGTGTGTGCGTGCGTGCCTATGCACTTGTGTGTGTGTGTGTGTGTGTGTGTGTGTGTGTGTGATTGCTCACCGGTGAACCTGCGGGAGGTTGTGGACGACCCTCGATATGGACGAGTGGACGAGGAAGATCCGATGCTGTTGCGGAGTGCGCGGGCATGCTCCATCAGTCGACTGATGCGCGCATCAAACATCGACCCCTGGTGTACATATGCAGGCGGCAGTGCAACGCAGCGAACTCGTGAGCTTAGGCCGCCAGTGCTACTGACTCTACTTCAAGGGATACTTGCATACTCGCACGTGCGCCTCTGGAGGAAGGAGAGAAGCACACGACAGACAGGCAGACACAACGGACAAGCAGACACACAGATTCAAGAATACCCAGACAGACACACAACACACCGACGCATGAGTACACAAGTGCATCGCACCGGGAGTCTGATGACAAGTTTGATGGCTGTCGTGGACTGCTTGAGCAGCGCGGCCACAGAGCGGGTGCGCCAGCCAATGATGTTCTGGCCGTTCAGCATCACAATCTCGTCCCCGACCGCGAGCAGGCCCGTGCGGTCGGCAGGCTCCTGCCATATGGTCGCAGTCGATTAAGAGGCAGTCGCGCGTTTGTTGTGATGGCAAGCAATGAGTGGGCGGGTGTAAGTGGATGAAAGGGGATGAGGAGATGTGCTGAAGGAAACGAAACGCAAGGAAACGCAAGAAGCAAACCACAAGCAGAGAGTGTGCAGGGGTGCACGCTCTGATCGACAAAGAATTGGAGCATGACAAGGTTGCAATACGGCGTGTCTACAGGCAACAGTGTGCCACAGGAAACAGGACGATAGCATACGTTTGGCGTCAAGTTGGAGATGTAGATGAAACGCGAGTCATTCTGGCGGATGGACAGTCCCTGTTGAAGAGCGATCATGATTCGGGCACAGTTGGAGGCACGCGATGCGTGTGTGTGTGTGTGTGTATGTGTGTGCGAGCACATGTGTGTCGAAGAAAACAGTGCAAAACAGAGCACGGAGAAGTGGAGGAGGAAGCAGAGGGTGTGTGTGTGTGGGGGGGGGGTGGCTTGTTCGTAAGTGTCAAAGAGGGAGAGCTGACTCCGTAACAGACCCAGGCCCCCATGCATCTGTCGACAAGCGAAGTTACCTCACTCGCTCGACACACATGACCATGCAGAGACAGCACAGTTGTCCCACTTCCTCATCGCGTTTTGTCCCCAACCCATAACGCCACCACCACCACCACCACCACCACCACGTGACAGCTCATCACCACAGGGTCGACCTACCGCCTGGGCGCCGGGGGGAATGTTGACGACGACCGAGTGGAGGAAGTTGTTGATGTTCTGCGACGGGTCGGAGGTGAGCATCCCCTTTAGCTCCTGCAGGTGTGGCAGCACGGCCCGCACAAACGCCTTGCATTTCTTGACAAAGTGGCGGTTGCCGCTGCTTGTGTCCTGCGTCTCTGCGACGAGCTTGAGGATGCGCCCGCACTCGACCAGCACCTCCTGTCGGCGCGTGCGGTAGTCATCGGTGGAAAGGAGCGTGTCGATGGCGCCAAGCGTCGTGGTGATTGTCTGCACCATCTGCAAGATGCACTGCATTGGGCTGTGGACGGCAACAGGATCATGTTTTGAAGGAAGAAAGAGCAGACGCGCGTGGAGCGAGAATATATATGTGAGCAAATGAGTAATGGTGCACAGCCAAGCGGTGATCTGTCCAAGTGGAAGAAGCTTAGAACAGTCAATGAGCACGAAATGCGAATGCATGTACGTGTGTGTGTGTGCGTGCGCGCGCGCGCGCGCGCGCGCGCGCGTGTGTGTGTGTGTGTGTGTGTGTGTGTGTGTGTGTGTGTGCGTGCGTGTGTGTGTGTGTGTGTTGAGGAAGTGGGAGGGCTCGAATGTTTGACCAAACTTCAGAGTGCGCTGAAGAGGAACCTGCGGAAGCTCCACATGAGCACCCGCTTTCTCCATGTGAGTGAGAAGCAACCACCCAGCATTCGACTTGGTGAGTGGGCGCACGCGACTTACCGTGACTCCAGGTCCTTCCCCGCGGATAATAGCTTCGATCCAAGCGTCAGCACGGGGTTCTCTGGTATGTACGTTTCCTACTCCAACCACACATGCACGCATTTACACATCCACATGGCACACACGCGCACGTGTGTGAGGAGAAACGGGAGAGATGATGGCGAGTGGTGGAGGGCGCCATATCCGCGCGAATGAGCGATGCGTGTGTGTGTGTGTGTGTGTGTGTGTGTGTGGTGGTGGTGGATTAAGGCGGACATGTAGTGGGGTAAAGTGTAGAGGGGTGGAGATGATTTGATGCAACAGCGTGAACGATCACAGCACGGAAGAAAATTGGCACGGACGTGTAGATGAGTGGGGTGTGTGTGTGTGTGTGTGTGTGGGGAGGGGTGCACTCTGGCGTCTGTGTGGGTGCGTGACGTGTGTGGTGTTGCAATATGCTCGCTAATGTGCCTTGATTTCGTTCGTGTGCATGACGCTGTGCTGACGTGGTGGCAAGCAAGGCTGGGCGTGAGCAAGCTGGCAAGGCTCACGCCGCTTCAACCTCAAGACCTCATGATCATGATGATGGCCATCATCATGGTCGTGCGAGCTCACCGCTGTGCGCAAGGATGCAACAGCTGCCAGGATGCAATACCGCTTGCCGACAGAGTCAACCTAACAAAGGAGCAAAGGCAACACAACAAAGGGAACAATGACGGATGAGCTGGAGCAACGCAAAACAAAGACGCGCTGCGTTATACGCAAGGTCCGCCGCCCTTGCAGAAAGCACCGTCGTTGATAGGTTGCAGGTGCGCATGTGCTAACGCATCATGATGGGAATGGGATCACTCATGTGACGTGCAGGTACGCACCCCAAGCTCAGCCAGGCGCTGACTGGTGATTTGAAGAAGTTCGGCTCCGGACAGACCGGCATGGAGCACGTTCTCCAGCACGGGGCGTGCGACCTTCTCCACGCCTGACACGGCGCATTTGAATGAAGGAAGGGCAAGGGGGCGGATGAGGAGAGTGAATGTGATTGAACGTTAATTGGATGGGGTGCACGCAAGGTCGTGTTGCATGTGCGACATGTTTTGTGAAAGCGAGTCATGGCTAGGGACCCGACCGACCTCTGAGCCAGATAGCCACTTCCTCTGCGCCCCAGTCTGAGATTGGCCGCCACAACTCCTCCACTTTGCGCTCTGTGAGTGTATGAATAGAGTGCGCGCAAGTTGATGTGCGTGCATGCACATGATTGTTGTTGATTGAGAGAGTGTGTGTGTTTGCGTATGTGTGTGAGTGTGTGTACGTGTGTGCGTGTGCGTGTGCGTGTGTTGTGGAGGTGGGGAGGGAGATGTGTGAGACTGTTTGTTGCTCAAAGCAAGGCACGATAGATGCGTGCTGGGCGGGCAACGCGATATGCGCTCTTTGCTAGATGCGATGCAGACAGAACCTGCGCTCAGAGCACGGTCATCGTCCGCACACATCCAAATGGACATCACAACGGACATCCAAATGGACGAACGCACGCCCACACAGACAGATAGACACACACAGAGACACGTGCAGGTAGCAGACATAGACACACACTCACTCGCTCACACACACACACACTTGCACGCAAACTCGCACACACACTCACACATACAGACACATAACTACACGCGCTGAGCAAGTGGACCTGCATACCCTGGGCGGATCGGCGCATGGGAATGTTGTTGCTGGCTGTGCGCTGCACCTCCAGCGATGTCATGGTCATCACGAGGGGTTATTACTCGTTGAAGGCAAATTGGTGTGAGGGTGGGGAACGTTGAGTGAGCGAGGGAGTGAGAGGGAGGGAGTGTCTGTTTGTTGTCGGTCACGCTGCTGGGAATGAAACGTTGAGCTCGGTGTGGTGGTGTCTTGTGTTGTTTCTGACAGGTGCTGTCTGTATGTCTGTCTGTCTGCCTGTATGTCTGTCTGTCTGTCTGCGTGTCTGCTCGCTTTTTGGATTGCCTCTCTCTTCATCAACCATGGACGAAGCCGCAAGATGTGTCGCTGTGAGGGCTGCTTCCCGTCCAATCCACAACAACCATCCTCCTCATCCACAACCATCCACAACCATCCGTGCACACCACACCAAACCACGGAAAAATCACCGGACGAAATGCCTTCGCCAGCCAGAACCGGACGTGATTGAAGATTCGAAGAGTGGCGAACAGGCAGACCGAACGCAGCGCATTTAGTTTTTCTGTTTTTTCTGGTCGAACTTGTTTTGGTGCTGGTGGTCGGCGCCAAATCTTCAACAGAGAACAACAAGAAGCAAGCAGCACGGCTCCACACACACACACACACACACACACGCAAGCAGCCACACACACGATGGGAGTGCCTGGGTTGATTGGCTTCCTGCAAGCCATCCATGAGCCTTTCCATATCCGCGACTTTGCCGGCAAGACTGTCGGGGTGGACATTGCCAACTGGCTCTACAAAGGTAAGTGAGGGAGAACGAGATGTGTGCGTGTGTGCGTGCGTTTGTGCATGTCTCTCTGCTCACACACGAAACACGCACACTGAATACATGCACGTCCCACACAATCACACACTGAACACACACACACACACTAACACACACACTAACACACACACACACACTAACACACACTAACACAGGGAGCTATGGGTCTGCGTTGGAGCTGTTCAAGGACGTGAACAGCACAGACGGGTACATCATCTATTGTGTGCAGAGGCTGCAACTGTTGCGGACGTTCAACGTGCGTCCTGTGGTTGTTTTTGATGGCGCGCCTCTTCCCATGAAGGCAGAGGAAAAAGCAAGCAGAACCGAGAGAAAGGAGGAGATCTACGCAAGGACTGCGTTCTTGCTATCCGAAGGCAAAGAGGCCGAAGCTGCACAGGAGATTCAGCGAGGCCTTGACGTCAGCTTCGAAATGCGACACAAGATGGTCCAGGTCTGCCAACGTCTCAACATTGGTGAGTCGATGGACTGAGTGAGTGTGTGAGTGTGTGTGTGCGTGTGCGTGTGCGTGTGCGTGTGTGTATGAACGTGCGTGTGTGCGTGTGTCAGCTGCACTGAAGCTGTGTTGCACGTTGCATGTGCTTCGTTTCAGTGCTCGTTTCTTCCTCACCAACTCCTTGTCCCGCCTTACCTGCCATCGCAATCGTCACCAGAGTATGTGGTGGCCCCCTACGAGGCGGATGCGCAGCTGGCGTTTATGGCGCGTCAAGGCCTTGTTGATGCTGTCATCACAGAGGATTCGGACTTGATTGCTTTCGGTGCCGCGGATGTTCTCCTCAAGATGGACAGCAACGGGTGTGTGTTTGCGTTTGTGTGTGTGTGTGTATGTTTGTGTTTGTTTGCTTGTTTGTTTGTTTGTTTGTTTGTTTGTGTGTGTGTGTGTGTGCGTGTTTGTCATGCTTGCTTCGCTGACGAGACGCTTTCTACGTGATTCGTACCTTTGTTTCACTTGTCGACGTGTGGCAGGCGTGGATTACGTCTTCGATTTCACCGCCTCAGTACGTCCCTTCGTCCATGCTCAGCGCACACATCACACACATCACAGATCACACATCACACATCACACATCACAAATACATGACCCACACATATCCACGCAAACACACGCACACACACACACACACACTCTCTCTCTCTCTCTCTTTCTTCTGCTGGGCTGTTGTAGAATAGCCGCTCACTCGTGTTGCTTTCTGTCCTATTGCACATGTGTGGGTTGTTTCGTAGATGAAATCAGCATTCGTGATGGCAAACGCACGCTCTCCTTCAAGGTTGGTGCACGCACGAATGTGCGATACATGTGTGATGCATGTGTGTGTGTGTGTGCTTACGTCTCTCCTCGTCTTCCCTCGTCTCATCCCATCTTGCTCTCAAGTTTCTCGCCGCGCTGATTACCACACCGCTCCACCATCACTCACACACACACGTCATGATCTTCCTGTCCAGAACATGACACTTGAACAACTCCAGCTCTGCTGCGTGCTGTCCGGCAGCGATTATCTCCCAAAACACTCGAGTGCGTGGCGCGCGCATGTATGTGTTTGTGTTCATTTGTGTTATTGAGTTTGTGTTTGTCCTTGTCCTCGTGTGTGACTGTGTGCCTTTGCGGCTTGTTTGTTGTTTGCAGTCGCTCTGCTTCCTTTGCATGTCCTTGTTCATTCGTTCATCATTCGTTCATCCACACACAAATGCAACACACACACACGCTCAAACACACACACGCTCAAACACACACACGCTCAAACACACACACACACACACACACACACAACCAACCAACACGCCAGAGTGGCACATCAAAGGGATCAGCCTGAAGACGGCGTGCAAATATGTTCTTCGACACGGAAGCACTACGCAGCTGCTGAACACGCTCCGAAGCAAACACGATGTGGCAAGCGGATTTGAGGAGGTGTTGGCTGACGCCATGTTTGCCTTTCGTCACCAAATTGTCTGGGATCCAACAAGGGACAGGCGTTGTCACCTCACACCTCTCCCACGACGACGACGACGGCGTTTGTGTGGTGATGGTGGTGATGGTGATGATGGTGATGACGATGATGATTGGGAGGAGCAGGGCTTCCTCTTGAATGATGATTATGACGACCTGAACTCGCGTCTGCAAGGCATGGAGGAGGAGGAGGATGACGATGATGATGATGAAGCCGACAGCGAATGGACTTTCTTCAACTTTGCCCTGGACACTCGGGTGCGTCGCGTGAGACATGTGTGTGTGTGTGTGTGTGTGTGTCGCATAGCTTCGAGGAGTACATCATCGTGCTTCCACAACGCTCACATCAACACAATCGCTCACACACACACACATACACATCAACATGCAGTGCACGAAGGCCGGGGTGGTGGGTGTGGCGCATGGGCGTGGTCGCGCGCGTGGGAGTGTTCATCCGGAGACGGGCGACGCATTGCAGGACGCAACATTCTCTCAGCGCCTTGAGGAGTGCATTGCAGCCGTCAACGAGAGGGAGAAGAGGAGATCCAAGAAACAGGTATGTGCATCTGCACATGCGTGCGAGTTCGTGTCAACTCTCCTTGCAACAGCCTTGTGGCCAGCACCACACACACACACACACACACACACACACACACACACACACACACACACACCACGTTGGTAAACAGGCGCACATTTCAATTCTCTCCGTTTTCTCCACCTCTCTTCACCGCATCGCCAATGCCATACAACGTGTGTTCCCTTCTTGAGAGCAGGAGGCCAAGTACAAGCGCCCCTTCTGGCAGCGCAAGCAGAACCGCCAGCCAACACTGCTCGACAAGTTCCTGCAGGTGTGGTCCTGGTGACAGGGACATGCTGGTGTGGTGCACCAAGGTGTTTGTGTGTGTGTGTGTGTGTGTGGTTGTTGTGTTTGTGTGTGTGTGTGTATGTGTGTGTGTATGTGTATGTGTGGATGTGTGTGGATGTGTGTGTGTGTGTGTGTGTTCTTCCACCGACCATTTCCTTCTCACCCCTGGTGCGAATACACGCCTCCACCATCCCAGCAGAGCCCACGCAGCAAACCTGTTGGCTGGAACACCACCACCACCGCCACCACAACAGCTGCAACCACCACCACCTCGACCAAGGCGGCGCTTCGGCGGTCTCCACGGCGACCACGCCAACAGCACACACACGCAGCGCGCACCCTTCAGGCACGGGCAGTGACGACCGAGCCTGGTGTCCGTATTGGTGTTGACCTGTCCATCTTTGGGTCATCAACAGGAGCAGCAACAGAAACAACAGCAACAGCAACAGAAACAACAGAAACAACAGCAGCAACGGAAGCAGGAATATCAGGCACCCTGAACGTTAGTAGCAGCAGCAGCAGGAGGAGGGGCGAGACGGCAGACAGGAAAGCGCTGTCGTCGTCGCCACTACGAACGTCGCGAGCACCGCGAAAACATGAGCTTGATGGTGATCGTGGTGATGATGACGGTGATGGGCTGAGTACATTGGCTGCAGTTCGCCCCATCAATCTCTCGCTGGAGAGCGCAATTGACGTGGACAGCGGTGACGAGCACGATCAAGGCAATGACCGTGCAGATGGTGGAAGCGTTAGCACGGGTGGTGGCACGGACCATGACGCCAGCGAAGAGAAGAGTGGTGATGGACAGTTGCGTGCAGGTACAGCAGAGCACGGACAGCGAAGCGATCAAGGCACAGCGCAGCCCTCACTGAAGACCGACAGCGGCACGGGTGGTGGTGGTGGCGGTGGTGAGAGCGACAAACGCGATGGCGGTGATTGTGACGATTGTGACGATTGTGGTGGCTGTGGTGGCACAGCAGAGAAGGAGGAGGAGGGTGAGGAGGGGGTTGTGCAACAGTCGTGCGTGCCGGACAGCGCTGTTGTTGACGACAGCGACGAGGCAGAGACGGACATGTCCATAGACGCGGCCGTTGTTGTGCTGAGCAGCGATGACGAAACGGATGTCGACGGCAGCTCAACGCTTGGTGCCATGCGCACCCCTTCACCGTCATCTGCACAGCGCAAGCGCCGCAGCCGTGCTCAAACACCTCGCACCCGCTCGGCAGCCACGCCCACGTCGCACACGCGCCGAAGCGCCAAGACGCCAAAGGCCAAGCAGCAGGTGTGTGTGTGTGTGTGTGTGTGTGTGTGTGTGTGTGTGTGTTGGGTTTGCTTCTCGCCTTCGCTGCTCTTACCATCTGTCACCATCTGTCACCACCACCACCACCGCCACCACCAACATTGTGTGTTCACGTGCAGCTGTCCTTGCTGGATATGCTGCGACCAAAGCGACCGAAGAGCGCATCGTTCACGTGACACCTGACACGAAAATCTCAGCTGTGAACGTGCTCATGTATGTGTATGTGTGTGCGTGTGTGTACGCGCGTGTGCGTGCGTTGTGTAGCTGAGGCTAGCTGGTGGGTAGGGCTTGAGTTGCAGCAGCTCAATTGCTTGTTGTGATGCGAGACGATGGCATGCTCTGGCAAGCTAGCGTTGATTATTTTGCAGTTCCACTGTGTGGGCAGCAATGATAGTGATGCAAATAAAGGAACAACTGATGCATGCAAGGGAGCAAGCGAGAGCAAGCAAAGGCGAGCAAGCAGGGGGGCAAGCAAATGAGAGCGAATCAGGGAGCAAGCAAATGAGAGCATATCAATTATCTTCACAGACACACATACACACACAGACACACACACAGACACACACACAGACACACACACAGACACACACACACACACATGCACTCCACGTTCCATGCAACATCACCACCATCTGCGGTTCGTTGGTTTGAACACTTGCACGGTGTCCTTGTGTGCATCGACCAGCGTAAACGTGTCGTTGCTGTGATCGTACTCAAACCCGGCCACAGCACAGTACCCGAGACGGGCCGTGTGCCCAACCTCAGCCAGGAGGTCGCGTATTGCCTCGCGGTGCGAGCAGATGAGGAAGCAGTGGCCCGCATGCTTCGTGCACAGCTTCACCAACGCCTCTCGAAAGCTCGATGACCCGCACCGCCGCCGCGCCACGTACGATGTGCTGTCGCCAACGAGCGCGTTGATCTCGTCGTCGTCGGCAAACCGTGTGCCTCCAATGGTCCGTTCACGCACCGCTGCGGCACACTCGGCCAAGGCATCGCACGCTGCCAGCTTGAGATCCAGCGCCTGCGCAACGACGGCTGCTGTGGATACGCAGCGGATCAGCGAGCTCGTGTACAGCACGTCCACGTGCAGCTTCTTCTTGGCGATAAACTTGGCTGCCGATCGCGCCTGGCCCTTGCCTTCCTCCGTCAGCGGCGGGTCATACGACCGCCCGTGTGTCTCTGGGCACTCCTTGTGTCGCCACGTGTTGTTGCTCACCTCATCCAGCCGCTCACCATGCCGCACAATGTACACCCTCGTCTTCTCCTTCTGCTTCTTCTGCTTCTTCTGCTTCTTCTTCTGCTCCAGGCTTGTGTCGTTCTTGCCGCTCGTCTCCTGTCTGCTCCGTTGTTCCTCCAACAAGCGCTGCTGCCCATGCGTGACCCTACTGTCCTGTTGCGCGTCCTCTCGCTGCAACTGATCCTGGCTTACTGCTTGCTCTGTCTCCGTGACTGTTCTGGTTGTGGCGGTGACGGTGTCGGCTGCGCCGGGCGTGCGTGCTGGGACGCGGGTGGTTGTCATGGTTGTGGTCACGGACGTTGTGGCGGCGTCCGGTTCCGTGCATGACATGCTGGCAACAGATAGCTCTGTCAGCAATGGCTGCATCCGCATCCGCAGCTCCTGCGCCACAGGATCCCTGCTGCTCGCTTCGCCATCGCCATCGCCGTCGTGGTGGCCGTCGTGGTGGCCGTCGTGGTGGCCGTCGTGGTGGCCGTCGTGGTGGCCGTCGTGGTGGTGATGGGGTGGCGCGTGTTGCTGGTGATGATGTGCGTCCTCCACACACACGGCCAGGTCCTCCTCCCACTCAAGGCCTTGAACCAGCACGTCGTGGCCAGCCGTCGTTCTCGCGCTGCTGCTCGTCATATGTGTGTGTTGTGTGTGTGTTGTGTGTGTGTGGTTGGGCAGCGACGGAGCGTCGTGATGAATGGTGGACACAGCAAGCAAGCAAGACACGCGTTATTGTGTCGTTGTCGGGGCGTGGTTCTGATGATGACTGGCGCAAAACAGCAGTTACGCGAAGTGCCAACACGACAAATCATTGTTGGTTTGTGTGTTGGTTGCGATGACGGTGGTTGTGATGATGGTGGTGTCATGTCACATCACCACATCATGACTTTGGTTTACAGTGCTCGCACAGCAAAGTTCATAGAGGCAGAGAGAGAGAGAGAGAGAGACAGAGAGACAGAGAGA